GGTTGTGCGCGGCTCTCCCAAAATCCGCAAGCTTCCGCGACCTGTTAGCGCAATACGACGCCGCAGAGGATATATGGTGGGCCCCACCAGCCCCCACACCCATTTCCTGCGCCAACCCCTTATGGTTCCAATGCCGGTTCGGACTCGCTCGCACCAACGGACTCAGACAAAACGCCATCGTCGAAATTCCCTTCCCGCCGCCGGGGTTAAGCCGCGACCGCCGATTCGACGGTGCCGGCGCCGGCGAAGGATTCTGCTTCCACGGCGAGGATTCCGCTGAGAATCCCGAATCCGTCCGATCCTTTGCTTCTTCGGTGAAATTATCCGGCGCCGGAGATAATCCTCGATCCGTTTGTCGGCACCGCCGACTTTCTGCTCCGCCGTGGTGGTGGCGGCGCGCGTGGAGCATCGCCGAGAACCACGACGGTGGAGACGCCGACGAGGACGGTTCCTCGCAAGGCGCGGTTTCCGTTTTGTTCGATCTGCCACGGAAGAGGCTCGAGAGGATCCCGAATCGTCCGGCGGACCTCCTCCTCGTCGACGCCGGCGTTACGCCGTCGTACGCGGCGGCGAAGACCTGCGGCGTGCCGTGGAACATCCGCTCGTGTTTCCGGCGAGCGACGTACGGCGACACCGAGTGAGGGAAATTGATCGGCGGAGGACTCGGTTCGGGCTCGGGCTCGGGCTCGGGTTGCGGCTTGTGCTTGTGCTTCCTGAAACGGTGATAATCGGCGTCGTTTTGGGCTTGGGCCTTGGCCTGGGCCGCGAGGAGGGGTTGGAGGCGTTCGCGGAGGCAGGAAGCGCAGACGCCGATGGTGCTGGTTAAATCCTGTAAGTGTTTCTTACACCTCATTTTCGGTTTTGTTTCGCCTCAAAAAACGACACCGTTTTCTTTTATATTGTGTCGTTTCGGATAACGCTTAATCCACCAATTGTGTGTCGAAGAAAGAGAGAGCGTTCTGACGGAGATTTAAAGGGGAAGGTTTGTCTTGTTCTTGAAAAAAGAAGGGGTTGCTTAGTGTGGGTTTGAACGTAAGAGGGAATAAGAGAAAAATGGAGAGGGAAGAGAGGGTCAAAGAAAGTTACTTGGCATGATGGAAAAAGATGGAGGACCAACTTTGTTAACAAGTTGGATTGGATAAGGAAAGGGTTTGCTGGATTACAGCACCTCTTATGGGGTTTCTTATTATCATCCATTAATTTGTAATGGTCAGTTTCTCCGATCAAAATAGAAATAAATAAAATTGAATAACTGTGCCAGCTAATTCTTGTTACAGATCATACCAAAATAATCTTCCTTTTGGTGAAAAATTTATGATGTATATTAAGGTATTTAATGTTTGTTCATAAATACATATTAAAGAGCAATAAATATATTATATTAATTGAATTTAATTATTTTAAGTAGAGTTTCTTTTATTATTCATAGAAATTAACATAACACACTTTGAACTTATGACTTGAATCCTTCGTTATTAAGTCTACTTTAGTGATTTATTTTAAAAAAAAAAAGTTATAATTATATAATATAAAATAATTTTATATCATCAACAATTTACAATTTAATGTTAGAATGAGTTTTCAGTTATTTATTGTATAAGTCAACAAAGTTACTTATATGATAATTTATGATTAAATGATAATATAAAATTAATATTATTAATGCTTGACATATTTTCTTTTAAAGAATAGAAATTAAAAAAAAAATTATTAGTAAAAATAATAAAACCTTTATTTATTCTCTACATTTTCAGACTTTTTTTCTATTTGACTAAATTTCTTTGTAAATTATAATACTTATATTACACAAAAGTGTTCTGTGAACTTTTTTAACCATGTTTAGCTATTTTTTTTTATGAGTTTCTTTTAAAAAAACAAAATGCGTAGCTTCTCATTTTTTTTAATTTTTATATTAAATTTCAATTATTTTTAAAAAAATTAATCAATAATTAAAAATATCATTAAGATACAATATAAATTTTTTATTTTAAATTCAAAATATAACTTATATGTTAAAAATATTTATTATTATATTAATTATAATAGAATTCATGTATTCAAAAATATTTATTTATTATCAATAATTATTCATATGAGTGATATTGGATTCAATCCTTTTAAATATGGTCTTGAGTTCAAATTAAATTCTTTTGACAATAATTCATCATTAATAAAATTGATAAATATTCTATAATCATAACATAATTATAAAACATTCTACTATTTTATTCAATATCTAATGTGATTTATATTGATGAAAAAAAATGCATCGATTAGATATATAAGTTCTAAAAAATAAACAAAAGTGAATAGACAGATATGTCATTTTGATAGTTTTTTTTACAAGAAAAGTTGTTTTTTTTAAATTTGTTATCATTGTGTGAAGAACATGCATTAAAAAATGGAAAAATAAAATAGTGAAAGAAATTTTTTTAATGGCTTGAAGAAATTTAAAATGTCGAAAAAGAAGCAATTAGAGGGGTGTTGACTTTTGATTAGATACTTTAAGATAAGATAATTATAATGATTAATTGATGTAATGTTTTGTCTCCCAGGGTTTCTTGCTTTATGGGCAGATCATTATTGGTTCATTGAATGTTTGTGGTTTAGTTTTATTTATATTATTACTTTTGTTAATACTACCGAGTCTCGTTTATAAATTAAAAAAAAAATAACAACAACAACGAAAAAACTACCGAGTCTATTGGATTGCCGAGTCTTTTTCCGGACGACGTGACTAGTTTTCGGCGGAGAGCCGAGATTTGTCAACTGTTTATTTTATAATAATTAGACAAGAGGTACGAAGTCTCTCAATATTTTTAAATATATCAAATAAAATAATAGAATAAATGGTTCTTTATATAGTTGTATTATTCTTTTATTTTCTTTTATAATTGTTGTTATAAAAAAATTAATTTTTTATTTTCCTTATTATTTGAGAAGCATAATACCTCAACAAAATATGAAGATTAAAAATAATTACTAAAAATAACAAAAATTAAATAACATAATATTTTTTTATAATTGAAATATCAAACATGTTTAACTAGAGGGTACCACATCATAACTTAAACAGTAGCTTAATTAGCAGAAATTACAAAGAAATAATATAAGATCTTCATAAATAATTTAACAAAAACATTTTAATCTAATTCTATCTATGCCCCGATGTCACATGTCCTATCAGAGCAAATCCCAACATAAAAGTCTAAGCTTCATCACCAACATTCTCAGCCTCATACTGATAATTACCTGGAAAAAATAACACGAGAAAAGGGAATGAGAAACATCTCACTCTAGCTCACAGTGTAAGAATATATACTAGATAGCCAAACACAAACAACACATATATAACATAGATAAATTAATAATAATATCACATTTCACTCATCCAAGACATATTAATTTTTCATATAACATTAAAATGTACATGTATGGACACGGACTACATTTTATCATGCATGTGGCCCAGTAACATATTACATGACATATTGCCGCTAGCAATATATGAAGAGTAGTCTAGGGACTAGGAGTACATGCTGGGTCACACCCTCTGTGCACTCTCACTAAAAGGACATACTACCAGAGCCTCATCGGGATAGCTAAGCCGCGCAAGATACATCTCATGCACATAATGGGCGGGTGAGACTGAGACTTACAAATCGAGTTATCTCCTAGGACTAATCCCTAAAGCTTTTACACTAGGGGGCCTTCTTTGGCAGTGTATTTCATATCGTACCCTTAAAAACATTTATGCATATGATGCATGTCAATCAAGACTCCATGCTTTTCTCATATCACATTTTCATGTCTCATTCCCATATCACATTATCATGTCTCATTCTCATATCACATTATCATGTCTCATTATCATCATGTCTCATCATCATATCTCCTCATCATATCACATCATCATATTCACATTTCATTATCATATCACATTATCACATGTCATTCACAATTTTCACAGAGCACTATGATTCATATTAAAACTTGTCTATTTTTAAAATTAAACACATATTTACACTCCATAAACATCAAGGAACACAACAGAAAACTCAGAAGATAAAACAGAAAGCATTTAAAATTTGTCTGTTTCTCATAGGGTTTTCAGAGGAACCAGAGCACTCTAATTCATATCAAAACTTGTTTATTTTCAAAACTAAAAACATATTCATTCATCTCATTCAACAAGGAACACAATAGAGCAATTAGAAAGCAAAACAGAAAATGTTCACATTTTGTCTATTACAATTACAAATTCATTCATTTAGGGTTTCTCATAAGAACTCACAGAGATCTCAAAATTATACATTTATATTTAAATAACATTTAAAAATTTGTCTACTTCTCATAGAGTTTCTCGTAGGAATCCACAGAAATTTCAAATCATACAATTACAATTTTAAAACTGAAATTAGTCATTCATTCAAGCAATTCATACAATTAATTACATACAAGAGGAACAATAGATGAAACAGATACAATTGGGAAAAACCCCTCATACATGAGCATACAACAAACACAGGATTGGAGGCCAATCCCACTACTCAACATACATTCCCACACCCAGATCAAGGTTTCTCACTCCCCCCTTACCTCGATAAGTAGGAGCTGAAACCAAAACAAGACCTTGCTAATCTCCTCCTCTGACTTCCCCTTGGTCTTCAGAGAGTGTAGAAGAAAAGAGGTCAAAAGTGAAAAAATGCATTTTTGGAGTGCTAGAACGTTCTATTTGTAGGCATCATATGTGTCCAAAATGGCCCGTTTCGAATCCGGAACGGCCCGTTCTGGACTCATTCGTCCTATGCAAATTTCATATCTAGAACGGTCCGTTCTCAAACCAGAACGGCCCGTTCTGAGATTACACTTAACCCACAATGTCCACTTCTGGAACGGCCCATTCTGGGTTCGCATATTACTCACAAAATCGTGTGTTGGAACGACTCATTCCCAACCTAGTCTTTTTAGACTATTTTAGTAGTCTGGAACGGCCCGTTCTAGGCTACTAAAAATCAAAATATTACAAAAATAATTTTCATAAATTAATTATCAAAATACTAATAATTATTAAAAACCTTTAAAACATTCTATAAAACCCATTAAAATAGCTATAAGAAAATAATCTTCATAAATATCAAATAAATAATAAATAATCATTATACTAGTAGAAAATTCAGGATGTTACATTTTCGGTGGAAAGCCAAGATTTGTCAACTATTTATTTAATAATAATTAGACAAGAGGTACAAAGTCTCTCAATATTTTTAAATATAACAAATAAAATAATAGAATAAATGGTTATTTATATAGTTGTATTATTCTTTTATTTTCTTTTATAATTGTTGTTATAAAAAAATTAATTTTCTATTTTTCTTATTATTTGAGAAGCATAATACCTTAACAAAATATGAAGATTAAAAATGATTACTAAAAGAAATAACATCCTATATATTAATACTTATATATAATTTTTTATCTATAAAAATTATAATAACATTATTAAGATTCAGATTTAGTATCATGTGTATATTATTGTAATTTGTAATTATAGTGTCTTGTCGACCATGCTCAATTAAGCTGGGCAATCTTTATTTGCTTGTCCACGATGGACTTTTGAGTCAGGCTCATTAGGTGGACATTATGCAAACCACTGGGTGATTACCTTCTATCAATTAGCCTTAATCTTTCATTAATTATATACTAAGATTTCAAGATATGATAAATCAAATATGTTATGTACCACCCCCGAAGTAGGACCGAGCTCATACTGAGATCATGGTGTAATATACTGATTAACATATATGTATACTGACGCAAACTTCGAGGTCAATAAGACCGACACCTCACCATATAAGCAACATCAAATATATATATAACATGTGACGATAAAGACTAACTCAACTTTAGTTAACTCACCTCGGATAACCACTATAGCAGTTATATCGGAAAACCGCACAACCCAGGTAAAGGATAAGTATGAGAATAGACAATGAAATGGTAACTAACTTGATCGTCGAAGTCCTTTTTGTAGGTACATCCGAGACGCTCGAGCAAGGAAACCGGAGAGAAGGAACTCAACCTAACCTATTGACTGATCTCACACAACCTTGGCTGAATCC